CGACTCTTCGTCTTTCTTCTCTCTCTCTCTCTCTCTCTCTCTCTCTCTCTCTAGCCCGCCTTACTTTCTCCACTTTGCTCCCGGACCGGCTGTTGTTTACCGCACTTTGCCATCATAAACCAGACATCTCTACTTCCTTTCTTCCGCTCCACGTGCTATGTCTTTTTCCGTACTTGGAGGATTTTGTCTTTCTTCTCTTTTAAATTTTCCTTTGCTTCGAGGTTCAGCTTGTTTGACTATACCACCGAAATATTTCTCTCTTTCCTTCCCTCTATCTTTCTATTTCATGTAATCCCCATTCGCCATTTCTCCCCGTCTAGTGTACTTGTATTGTAACATGGTGTTGTTCATATCATAGCCATGCCGCAATCCGTTCATCCATGCCTGGGCTTTTTTTTTTCATTCTTTTTGCGGTTTCCCGTCTGATACCTTGCTTTCTAACCCACTTTTCTCTCCCTTGGCTTACCTTGGCTTGGTTGAAGCAATTGTGAGGCGGTTTTTAAACGGAATATCCAGCACCAGTAATCACTCGAAATTTGGCCATCTGTGAACGTTTATATCAAGGGACGAACGAAAAATGCGGATAGCCAGTGCATCTCAACTCCTTCCCTCCCACCGGTTACGGAACAGAGAATCCTACGGCAAACTTAATATCAGCCATACCTACCGGTATTCCACCAGGTCCCTCCCCCTACCTCCTTAACTTTGCCGCTTCTCGCCAGCGCCACCCCATAGTCTGAAACACAACTGATACAAGCATAACAACAAACTTGCCCCCATCCCACCCCATCACATCCCATCTCATCTCATCTCTTCCCCCCCCCCCCAGAAAAAGTATCCCCCGCAGTATTACTTTGACAAATTGCCTGTACTCGTACTTGTACTAGTACTAGTGCTCGTGCTCGAGTACCGGAGCACGGTAGTCATATGTGTCAATATCTGTAAATTATCATTTTATCATTATCATCCCGGCTCATAAGGTTGGGTGGGAATGGGAAAGAGAGAAGAGAAAGAAAAAGAAAGAAAGAGAAAGAAAGAAAAAAAGAAAGAAAGAAAGAAAGAAAGAAAGAAAGAAAGAAAGAAAAGAAAAGAAAAGAAAAGGAAAAAAAAGTCTAGCAACAGCACGTTTCGATCGTGCGACCTCCGGGTTATGAGCCCGGCGCGCTTCCGCTGCGCCATGTTGCTTCTCGAGTGGTCAGAGTGGAGTCTTTAGGGTTTAAGTTAAGATTTATCCGACGGTTGTTGTCGATGCTGCCTTACGGTAGCGGATGGGGTATGATACCGCATTAGTCAGGGGCATGGATCATCACTCGTTATTATATTTCCCCTTACGGTAATTTTAGACTGGCTGGCTGGCTGGCTGGCTAGAATGGGGACGGGGATGGGGATGGGGTTGTGAATACCGATATTATACTGAGTGTGACAATCCGCTCAAGGGCGGTGAAACAAACTTATTGAAGATTTCATGGTATGATATAATATCAATAAGAGGTCGCTTTAGTAAACCATACAGAGGGCCCAAAACATATAATACCAAAATCGCGCTGACCCTCCCTCCCCCCCCCCCCCCCCCCACCTCCTCCAAGCTACACCATATCTTTCCATAGGCTATGGTATCATACCATACCGTAAAACTTGAAACCCAGCTCTCGGAAAGGGGTTTAAAAGAATGTATAATTTGGGTGTCCAAAGTATATTTACCGGTATTCCAAAGCTTCCCCGGCAAAGCAAAAGTTTATAATGGAGAGCGGTGTGCACAGTAGAGCAGGGAAAAAGCTACCTTTCGATACCGGTACAAAAAAAACAAAAAACGAACAAACAAGGGTCTTGCTTGGAAGGTATGATATGTATATTACGATATTATACTGATGGAAAAGGATATTTTCCGGACTTTTAACTGCTCTTTGAAGATTGAAGGGGAAAAAAACACAGGCTTTATTATGTAGGTGCTGTTATAGAGAATTCCTTTTTTCCTTTTTTTTTTTTTGGCGAATGGTGGTTGGGTTAATGATAGTTCCAGACCCCCCTTCCTTCACTTTCGGCATGTTTTTAGTCCCCGTGATTACGATTACCAAACCACACTCGACCGGTTTTTCCCAAATCTTGGATTGGACTGGACTGGGTGGGTGGGTTGTGAGTATGATACCGTATCGTACCGGTGATCCGCTCAAGGTGAGAACCCGTTAAAAATAATAAACTTATAGGCATCATACGATACTCGTACAGGTATATAAATATATAATATATAACGGACAGGGAGTATTATATCGTATCATACCGGTATGGATTTTTCCCTGTCGAGCGTTATGCTATCAATACGGGAGCGGAATATTATAATATACATGTTATCATAAGTGGGATGAGGAAAAAAAAGGGGGGGGGGTTCGGAGGTATGATATAGTAAAAAAGGGGTGTTGTAATCGGTCAATATATATATATGGCGTGTTATTATGTTATGTTATATAACCCCGGCGTGGACGTATCATACCATACCATACTTACTGTATTCAATTTTTGTTTCTTAGGGGGGAGGGGGGGGGCTCTTTTTTCTCCTCTAGCCATGGTTGTTACATATTGACGTTTGCAATGGGGGGAAGGGGGTCTAATGGAGTGAGGCCTGGTACCTGTGTACTATTGTTCCCGGACATGTATAAGGGGTTACTAGCGAGGGGTTCTATGTAGGAGTACGTACTCGCATACGAAGCACCTCTAAGTTCTTCTTCTAGAGTCACAAGTGCTCTACCGTAACCCACCCCGGAGACGTCCATTCCGTTTTCCGACGCACAATATCATATCATACTACCGGTAAAGTCATCACTCCACTTCACCTTCCCAATCTTCAGAATCGAGAGGAGAGGGCACCGGCATGTTCAAAACATGTGAGTATCTTCTCCCAGTCCCCCCTACTTATCTATTTATCCCATGATGCTGTTGTGTATTGTATAGAGTGATACAGCGTTAACATCACACTAACTCACTCGCGACTGAATCGGACTGATAACTCATACCACCGCCACATCAACCCTCCAGGTTTCCAAACGGAGCGGAGAGAAAGCCCGCCAACAATCAATCGATCGGTCAATGTAGCATAACAAACAATCCTGGCCTTATCATCATACCGTTACCGAAAACGTGTTCCGTCCGGCCCCCACATGCGGGAACATAAGCTTCCTATACGAGTATAGTATACTAGTAATACCGCCCCACCACCTCGGGAGTGTGATATGTTTATTGCCTGTGTGCGTCCCGGGTTAATGCACCGTACCTTCGATGCGTTTTTCTATGATATAGTATTAGTTTATAGAATCCGAGTATGTACTCGTACAGTGACTAGGGTAAGGGAGGGATGAAGAAGGAGTGTCACAAATAAGACAACAAAGGATAGACTAAAGTATTGAGGGTAAGGTCCTGGCTGTTGGTTGGTAGCATTTTCCTTCGGATGCGCTGTGCTTAAGGTAGTTCTTCTATGCGGGGGTCTTACTAGTCCGAGATCGACCTGGCGACATCCCCACGTGGGTTAGGTTGGGGAGGCGGTATGGCGCTCGGTAAGCTACCGGTACCTATCCAACGTATTATAGCTTGCATAGCTGGTATAATGCTACTGTACAATTTATTGATGCGAAAAAAGTTATGTCATATCATGGAGAAAAGAGTGTTTTCATTCCACCCAAATGAAAGTCATCTAAAAGCCATGGGGATCAAGAATAACCAAAAAAAAACCCTTCCAAATTGATACAACTAATGCAATCCCGGACCCTCAAAGAAAGAAAGAAGAGTAGAGTAATGAAGAAAGATTGAGAATACTTTGACGAAGGAAAAACCCAGAGCCATCACCCCTGAAGAACGCAGGAAAAAAAAAAAAAAGGCCTAACTTGAACCCAAAAACACAAACATAACCGAGAGAGGAGAGAGAGGAAAGTAAAAAACGAAAGTAGAAACAAGCAGAAACAGGTATAATGATAACAAGAGGCACCAAACAAAAACACTCCCATCAGTTCAGCCCAGAATAGGAAGAAAAAAATGAATCACCTATCGCCCTCCGCATAATCAAGTTTAGCCCCACCGTCACCACCACCAAAGGATTCAGAACTGGGCGTTGGTGACCTGGACGTAGGTGAGCTCCCATCTCCCTCTCCGTTAGCAGGGGCCAAAGTTTTCGGCGAGACATCGCCCCCAGGGCTATTCAGGCTAATATGTTCGCCCAGGGAGCTTATTGACGTGTTGGACATGGCCCCGATGACTCCGGATACACTCTTGCGACTGTGATTCCCGTGATTTGTGAAGGCAGTGTCAGAGTTGTGTACCATCTCCTGGTAGACCTTCCTGCCCGGGTCCGCTTTTCTCTTGGCCTTCTTCTTGTCCCTCTTTGAAGAGGGCCGAACGACAATAACCGGGACTGGGGAGTGTTGTAGACAGTACTTTGACACTGACCCTGGGAGGAGGCCCTGAAGGCCGCCGAGTGATCGGCCGCGAGTTCCCACGATCAGTATGACGGGTTCGTAAATGTGAATCTACCAGTAGGGGGGTTGGTTGGTAAGTAAAGTCCGGAGATAACAAAGTATCAAAAAGAAAACCCCCCCTATAGAAGAGAAGTAACTTACCATTTTCTGAATGGTCTCCTGGACCTTGCCCACAGAGAACTCCAGGATGATAGATATAGACTTATCGTCCTCATTCTTTTCGATAATCTGGTCCAGGAGATTCTGGGCTTCATGTCTATACTGGCGCTCCTGCAGGGCTGCATCACTACTAATCTTGCTATCCTTATCGACGACCCTCAGGCAGACCACCTCGTCGCCATCGTCGACGAGCTCATCAATTAGCCATTCCAGCGCAAACTCAGAGTAGTCGTTCTGGTCGGTTCCGCAGAGAAATGTCCGGGACCTTCGAGTGTACGCGTAGTCCTTGTGTTTGGATTTCAGCGTGAGGGAAAAGTCAGAGGCATCTTTATTGTTGAATGTATCGAAAGAAACCCGCTTTAGAAATGTACTACCACCCCCCACGTGAAGAGAAGTCAGTCCGGAGTCACTCATGTTTTATTCCCCGAGACAGGAGTGAATGATGGCAGAAAAGAAAACAAGGAAAGGGGATAGCTGGATAGGGAGGAGGTCTGGAGACGGAGGAAGGAGAAAAGCATAAGAAAAAGTCGGGTATGGGGTAAAGATCGTGGGGGTAGGAGTGGATAGTAGGGGAAGGTGTTTTGAAGGGGAGAGAAAAAGCAAAGGATGAATGGGAATCGGGGGAAACTAACGGGGGCGGCGGGGGAGATGATAGCGATCTCTGACGATCTCCACGGACAGATCCGCTCGGTAAACTAACGCTTCCAACACTGGAGGTTAAGGACGACTGGCGGCGACGACCTTCTGAGGCGGGTCGCTCAGGCAGGTTTGTCCTCCAGGCAATTGATGTCGGGCGAACTTCTCTCTCGGCAGGTGAATCTGCAACGGTAGGAGTGGAAGTCATCCAAAATGCCAATTAAACCGCTTTTTCCACGCAGTACAAACCTAGGTGGGTGGGGGTGGGTGAAAGTGAGTGGTGAAAGGAGGTTATGCTGTGAACGGTACTAGACCGGTATTTTCGGCTTTGTGAGGTTTTGTCCCCCCTTTCTGAAGCTACTATTTGCTACCGGCACCCGATGTTTCGGGAAGGAGGAGGGGAGGGGTGGTGGGGTGTGGGACTTTTGATGCACAGTATATTCTGCGGGGAGTTTTTTTTTGGACTTTAGAGATGAGGATGCCTTTTTTTTTCTTTTTCAGCTGGTCTGCCGGTATCGGTCTCAAAAAAAATATAAAAAAAATAGATGGGCAGATGGATGGGAACCAGGGGGGGTTACGATATTATGACAACTCGGCCCAGCAGTGAACGACAGAGGCAGATGGAGAAGAAACTGAAGTGCGGGGGATGAATGGATGTGACGGCGGCGGTGGTGGTGGTGGTAGTTATGATAGTAGATTAAAAAAAAAAAAAAAAAAAGAAAGGGTTGATGGAGAAATGAAGGCTGTGGACTACCGGTATCGGAGGTGGGTGCCGAAAACTCTCTTGCTCTATTCTCTCCCTTTGTTTAGAATGGGCGTTCACTCGTAGGTGCTTTAGAGCGGGGGGGGTGAATGGACTAGATAGCGGGTGTCGGGGGGAAAAGACCCATCGACAAAGTAAATAGAGTATGATAGCGGCAGGGTAAAGACAGGGCAGCAAGTAAGCAGAGTAGGCGAACTAAGGGTCGTTAATGTCAATAAAAAGGAAAGAAAGGGAAAAAAAAGAGCTTCTTGTCACCTCGCACCCCCCCAAGAGCTCTCCTCCCTTCCAAGAGATTTCGTGAGGAAGTGTGCTGTACTGTACTGTACCGCATAGCACGCGTACGTACAAGAATGATCACATCCGCGTCTTCGCATATACCGTACGCGGTATTCCTCCCAAGAGGATAAAATTTAATAAATAAATATTACGAGTATAGATAAATGAATACGAATGCGTACGGTACCGGCAATACCGGGCCAACCCGCCGTCCGGCCATCACTAAAGCTCGACGAAAGCTCCAAAAAAAGGATCGTTATGACTGTTGCCATTGCCGTGGCTGTCACCGTCTTGGCGTGTGAGAGGGGGGCGGTGCTGCTGTCAATTATCGTCATGACATAATTTCCGAATCATCGGGAAATGGAGACTCCCGTGAGAAAAAAAAAAAACTTCTTTGAAATCCACCACTAGATTATCAACGGAAACTATCCCGTCAGCCCAGAATACAATACGGTAGGTCTAGTTTGGTGGGTGAACAGGATTGCGGATACCTGAGTACCAACCAACCAATGAGATACAACATGTCCGGTGGGTCGATCTTAACTTATACCCTGCCAGGAAAACCTAATCTATCCCGGGACCCTTTTGTCTCTAAGTCCGGAGACACCGGTACTCTGCCGGTATGATAATAGTTGATTTCAAAGAGTTTTGCACTGTGCGGCACAAGTTGTGAGATCTGGTTTGATGGAATTTGTTTTGTTTTTTTTCTTGGGGGGGTGGAAGATCACAAGTATGTACTCGAGTATCCGCAACAAAAAGCAAACCAGCTTACCCGTGCGTTACTGACAAGGCTGGCGCTAAAAAAGATGAGCAGTGCACACTACCAGTACGGTACCGGTACTGTAAGGGTTTGTCACGGAAAACAGCCCTGTTCACGACCTTCCAACTACTGATCGAGTGAAGCAATTCAAACCAGTTCTTCACCTACAGTACGGTGTACTCGTACAGGTATGTGGAATAATTCCCTAGGGTCCACATCCGCCCCTCCAGAACTCTGCGCCGGTACACTGCGAGAGGGTTTGTCGAGAGAAAGCTATGGTTGGTATGTAGACTGGTCTTGGCCAATTTTCCAGCAACTATGCATTGGAAAGGGGCCTGTATAGCTTGGCGCTCTCCTTCAAACTCCAACTCTCCACATACTCGAGTATTGTATATATATCGCATGGCAGGGCAGCCAACAACCCCTTGGCGATCTGTAGGTTCTCGGTGAGATATTCGGGAGAATGTGAACCACATGGTACCATCAATCCCTCAATCATTTCATAGCTCCAAAGTGCGCTGAACAAAAAGCGCAAAGTACTGTACCATAGCACGGTTTAGGTTATCATACACGCCATTCCACCGACCTCGGCACAAACCTCACCCCCCATATCCCGAACCACCAATCATCAAATATCAACCAACCAAAGACATGCCGAACCGCGTCAATCAAGCAATCAATCCACAAACCCATCCCACCCAACAACATGATACGGTATCTCCCTACAATCATCATCCCAGTCTCTCACCTGCCAGATCGATCACAGCACACACACCCAGACCACCAAGGCACAATTTAAAACCGAGCACCCGCAGATCCCTCCACCGCAACTCTATCTACTTGTGATACTGTAGCCATCACGCACCCTACCGCAGAGTAAGAGTATCTGATCCGACTAGTGCATCCGACAACCACGTACGAAAGAAAGAAAAGAAAAAAAGGGCTCAAAACCGTCAAAGCGCCTCATCCACCACCACTTCCTCCTCCCACCGCTCGGGAATCTACTGCTGCCCTGGGCAACTGTACCGTACTTGTGCTTTACCAATACCAATACCGGTACTGTGCCCGCAGACGTGATAGCGGTTTCAAGACTGCACGCCGCATAGCGTATCACCACACACACATGTTGCACAGTAGACTATATATTATACTCGTACACCCAATCCAATCCTGAGAGGTGTGGATATCTCAGCTCACCGTTCCCTTCTTCTTCTTCTCCTTCACCTAACCTAAGCCCTGCATCTCACTCTTAACCTAAAGGGGATTGAGTTATCGACTTACTTTCCAATTCATCTGCGACACTTTGCCACTGATTACCAACTGCGCCATGATAACCGGTAGCTCTCCCCCTCTCACCCTTTCTTTGTTACGTTATGATGCGGGTAGTCTACGGTAGGGACTTTCACGGTAGGTGCCCGGATTGGTTCTCTAGCCGAGTGGTTCGAGGGTTCACGCCACAGGCTAGAAACCGAACTAACTTAATCTTAAAAGTGAGTACGGGTATGGTGATTAGGATGTTGGTTGGGACTGTGAGAAGCGTTATACAGGTATGATATATGGATATACATACATACAGTTACGATACCGGTATGATACCTCAAACGGAATTCCCCAAAAACCCTTACCGTAAGTACCAGTACGGTATGATACTCTGTCCTCCAAGCCAAGCCCTAAACCCTCAACTCGTCCCTACACACAATCAGACTATCATATAATACCGGTAATCTATCCCATGATACCAACATGATAATTACACTAGGTTAAATATCATACAGCGCCATCCAGTGTGATACCAATAACCAGTATGCTACCGTAGACTAACTTACCTATCTATCGTACGGTATGATAGACTAAGGGCCTGTTCGGCAACGACCGTTCCGTTCCGTTCGCCCATACAAATTGCCTTGTGGTTCCGTTCGCGAACGGCCATTTTGTATGTACAGTACGAACGGAACGGAACGGTCGTTGCCGAACAGGCCCTAACCGGTACAATACAATATCATACCCCCCCAACTCCGCCAGCCGAGAAATCAAACCTCCGAAAAGAAAAAAAAAACAACCAAAAAACCTTGGTCTCATGGTGCTGAACGAACTACTATAGACTAACTATCATAACTATAAAAAAAAAAAAATCACATGCAACGACCGGTGGGTACGATAATCAACCCTCTTCTACTCGTACTGTATCATACTCGTGCATAAATAAATCACACCGCCCGATTAGCAAGGGTTTCCGGTATCCCGTGATAAACACTACGAGTACGGTACGGTATCATACTCAGATCGTGCCCATTACAGTTTAATACCGTTAGTGGTGTGGGGAGAGGAGGGAGGAAAAAAAAAAATACTCGTCCAAAAACCCCAACGATTTATTTACAAGGTACTGCGAGTGCATTACCGTGACACGGTTTTTGCGCACAGTGAACAATCCTAACGGGGGGGGGGGTTGGACTGGCCAGTTACTCGTACAGTACCGGTGTTTGTGGTTACGTACCCGTAATGGTACTGTATAGGCGGTGCAGACAGACAGACAGGATAGGACAGCACAGGACGGGACAGAAAGTCAGGTATCATAGGCAGGCGTGATAACGGTAGCGATAGGTGCATCGCTTAAGACTCCGCACCGAGGAATGGAGGAAAGCGGTGGCCTTTTCCGGATCACGAGACAGATAGGCAGGCGAGCACCGGTAGAGTACCGGTATGCAGGCTCAAGTGACAGACAACAACGCACGACAAGCAGGGCTGCGGTGGGGAACCTTTTTACTTTGCATCACTTTTTTTCTCCTCTTTTCTGCACTTTGCACCTAAAGTTTGCATCATTGGGAAAAAAAAAGCCTTCTCAACCAATTTATTTTTCATTTGGCTCTTTTTTTTCTTCTCCCCCACGATCCATGCTAGTCATGGATGGGGATGGGATTTCCTCTTGTAGAGAAGAGAGGAAATACTGTAAAGAGTAAAATAAACATGACATGAAAAATATACCCAATGACACCATGAAAGGAAAGATGACGAAGGTGAAGGGACGAGAGAAGAAAAGGGGAAGAAAGAAAAAAAAGAAAGTAAAACCCCGTCCAATGCAAATGTACTTGTCGCCCAACAAAAAGATACATGAATAAACGCTGATGATCAAATGAAATTGTACAAAGTGAAGGGAGTTAGTTGTATGCTAGAGGCGGCTAATAGCACAATGAATAAATGGTTGGGGGGGAATATAGACATTTCAAGAAGAAATAACGCCAGCTGGTCATGTTAGAAAAAAAAAAAAAAAAAAAAAAAAGAAACAAAATCCCGCTCATAAACAAATAAGATATATCCTACCCGTAAAAAAAAAAAATCTGTACAAATGAGAAACGGAAGTGGAAAAAAAGGAAATGTTCATCGGTGACGAAAAGGAAACTCCGCCTAATATGAACTTATCATGGCGGGCGCTCTTTGAGGCTCGTAGTACTCGAATAAATCTTGGGGCTCCGAGCCATGCTGCTCGGCAAAGTATGAATGCTGTTTGTGTGACAGCGGAGGAGGTGGGATCGTCGGTTGTGGTGGTGATGGTGGATTCGACTCCTCCTCCTCGTCATCAGAGTAATCGGAACAAAGTGATGGTGGTCGTCTCGATCTTGTTCGTGTAAGGGAGAACATTCCATCCTCATCCTCATCCTCCGTCTCCTCGTCCTCCTCGTAGTCTTGCTCAACCTCTGATACACCGATGATGGTCTCCCGTACTTGGTAGTATTTGTACGAAGTTTCCCGGGTAAGGGTATACGTGGTATCGACGTCCTCCATCTCCTCGTCGCCTGAATCCTCGCTCGAGTCCGAATCCGAATCGTAATCCGCTGCCAACGATCCATATTCCTCTGGCTCCTCCTCGATTGTCTCTGGCAGATCTCGGTACTCGCGTGGCTCTTCGTTTCCTCGGACCATGGTGTTGAACCACCTCTCTTGATCCCTCTCCGCCTCGGACAAGTGGACCATCAATGTGTCGAGAAGATTTGCGTGTCCTATTATCACGAGTAAAAGTTAGCAACAAAGCTTAAATAGATGACTGAGCGTTTGACTTACCAACTAGCAGACGCAGGTTGTGGTCTTGTCGGGAAGCCTCTGATGAGAGCTTGCCCCGGGCCTTGTGGGCGAGATAGAATGTTTGTGTGATGCTCATCCTTTCCGGACTCTGTCGAGACTGTAGAGATTGGGGTGAACGTGGTGGAGAAGGGAGGGAATTCATTGTATTTGTAGTAGAGGTGCGGGAATTGGGAGGGGAATCTAAGAGTTTCCAATGAGTCAGTCGTGTGTCCGATCCAATTGAAGGGGGGAGGGGGGGGGGGAGGCAACAAGGTTAACATACCAGCTTGGGGAGACGGGATCCGGTTGGTCGGGAACAACGCTATGACTCCTTATCAAGAGATTGTGGCTGTAGGCAGATGGCGGGTATCAAGTTGGGTTTCGAGTCCTGTTGCTAGCTATAGCAGCTGTATGTCGGTAGGTAGATAGCTATCTGAGTTGTCCTTTTTTTTTTTTTACCTTCTCGATGAGGAGTGAGAGAGGTGAGGAGAGGGTGGTGTATTCGGCAAATGATGTTTGAGCTGATTGCTGTCCTCTTTGTATACCGGTACTGTAGGTTTAGAGTTGTGGGCAGAAGAACTCGATGGGTGGGGGGAGAAAGGGATCCGGGGAGGGGGAGGCGGAGGTCTTTAATATTGACTCGTTGGGTCCTTGACGAAGTTTGTTGTTACCAACGGAACGGGGGAGGGGGGGGGAGGGGTGTGAGTGGTGTGGGTTGTGTGGTGCGGGACCCACGCCAGCTAAACCGACTGACCATGACTAGACCAAAGGGAGTCGCAGTTAACGGGGCCATCATAAGGCGCATCCACCGCGTCGGGGTGACCGTAATTCCAGATTCGGAGAACGGATGTACGGGCTCCCTAATCCCACACACCCACAACCCACAAGCTTCGCGCTGGCTCACACTCCCACTCACACGCACCACCACCAGAAGCGCAATGATCAACCGCTACTCAGGCCCCCCTGCCCATCCCATGATCCGGGCTGAGGCTTTCCCACTCTGTTGATGGGGTACGCCCCATGGGAATGCTCATGTTCTCACAGCTGGCCAGATTCACTCGCTCAGCGCGTACCGTACGTAGGTTACAAACGAGAGAAGAGTCCGGACCGGACCGTACGAGTACTCGTAGGCGGCTGTCGCGACGACGACGACGACACACACACAGACGTAGTTCCCACACACACACACACCCAACTTGCCCACACACACACACTCACACTCACACACACCGACGCCCAAAATTCCTGACAAACCAGAAAAATACTCGCACCGTAACCTTAGGTGGTCGAAGGGAACTAAGGGTCTTCTGGTCCGCACCGTATTTCTCAGCCGGGGACGATTATTCACCCGAAGCGGCACCCAATTCCATCCGGCATGGATTTACCACCCGGCCGTAAAGTTGACCCACGCCCACTGATTCGCAGCACAGCACTACTGTAGACTACCCGGAAAAGTACACGAGTTCCGGACGAATACGCATTATTAGTCTACGGGCTTTACGGTTTTAACATGATGGGCGGAAACAGGTATTAGACCACGGTGATCAAACACTCCCCAAGTGAACTTGTACAAGTATCTCGTGCCGTGCCAGTACGAGTACGGTACTCGAGTAAATGTGCGAATCCCAACTCACACATTTGTACCTCTCCCTCTCCTCTCCGCCTCTTGATTAGTCGGTTGCCCTGGCTGCTCACTTCGTTTACCGGTGTTTTTGCTGCGACCGTTGCGGGATACAGGTAGCTACCATACAGTATGATACCGGTACTCGAGTACGACACGAGTGGAAAAAAGGAGGGGAAAAAAGAAAAAAAAATCACTCCCCGAGGGGACCAAACAGATAGGATCTGAACGATAACCGTACTCGTATACCGTAATCGATTGAAAGACGCGGTGCCTAAGGTTTGACCCGCGGGACTCAGGACCCTCGCCTAAATTATCGTTCTCCCCCGTTCCCTCGGCAACAGAGAGTAGGGTTGGTCTGTGGATGCTCTGCCTCGCTCCGCTGGCACCGACGGCGTCCGACTCGTCCGAGAGCTGGGAAGAGGAAGAGAAGAAAAAAAGAAAAAACATAGTCTAAGCTTTCTTTTTTTCCCTTTTCTCTCTTTTCCCCCTCGTCAAGTTACTGGATCCGTCCGGGCCATGCGCACTCGAGTTTGTCCGCTCTCGAGGGCGTGGGAACCCAACGGAGCAACCATATGCCGCTCGGGAGTGACAGACAGCCAGACAAAGTACGGTACGCATTGAAGGACTCGTGTAGCGGAGGGAAAATTGTCCAGTTTCATGCGTAGTGATAAAATCGAAGGGGATGAAAGCAATCCCGCTCCGCTCCAATTGAATTACCGGTATTCCAATCCGTTTGAACGGGAACTGGTGTTTCCGCTCGTTTGAAGATGAGGACGAGGAGGACTATCACCATGACTAATTGGCAGGTACTGTAGGCACGCTGGCCTGCCAGTGGGTGACGCTGTCACGCTGACGCTTGACGCATGGGCCAGACAATCAGACTAATCCACCACCACCGCCAGCCAGTCAGCCAGTACTTACCCCATCATCACCACTGCCCCGCAACACACCCGAAACCCTCAAACTCAAATCCCAAAACCCTCGCTAACGAAAAGTCAATTCCCACGACACAGGTATCATCATCATCATAATAATATTATCATACTCTACTCGAGCAGAGTGTGCTCGAGTACGGTTCGGCAAGACCCAATTCGCATCCCCATTCCCAAAGACCACCATCATGCCCCTCCGACCGTGCTCCACAGCACAGCACAGCGCAGCGCTGTGCTTTCGAGTCATCATCATCTACGAGCATCCCTAACATTTTCAGAAAGTCCACCCAACCAAGTCATGCACAAACGACCTACCCTTCCTGTACGGTACAGTACGCCCTTCATCCATCAAGGCTGTGACCCGACCCAACCAGCCTGCATAGCACCACTCACACACGCTCCACTCCCCTTCCAAATACCCCAAACCGATTCGCATGATGCATAAACCCCCGCGATCACCGGCAGAAACGCTCAAAAGTTCCCCAAATCCGATCCCAACACCAGTGTACGGTACTCTATGTGACACCTTACGATGCGATTAGATAGGCATGATTCCAATTCACACTCCCCAATACTCCTTCACAGCATCAGGCCCGCCCGCAGGCAAAACAGGCCTACAGTACTCGTACTTGAACCGCCGTACAGTACGATAATATTATCGTCACAACATTATCGCACCACTGCAATGCGTTACGCCTAACAAGATAAGCTCCTTCAACGGATAGATAGAGAGACAGAGAGAGGGGAGGGGGGAAGAGAAGCCTTTGCGCCTTCCTTCCATCCTTTCTTTACTGACACAAATGCACTTTTTTTTCTTTTTTCTTTCTTAATTTTCCTTGATTTCCTTTTTAAATTAATTAATTAATTGATTCAAAAGGGCACAAAGAGAAAAAAAAGGCATATCATACGTTAGGCCCCTCGTCTGGTCCGTAAGGCGGATACCGTACCTTTACATTACGATACCGGTATGTATGTATGTATGTATGCAACAGAGCCAGGCGTAACATTCCCACTTACAGCACTCGTGCCGATAGTCCACCGAAAACCGACCGGTATGATACGGTACAGCACCAGCACAGCATCTCAAACCTTACAAAAGGGTCAGGATCTTATCCAGTCCGTTCACTCCTGTGTGGGGCGGGTGTGTGTGGGGGAAGATGAATACCCCGTATCATACAAATAAGGCGTGCAAACGGGCACGGCCGGCCGGACAACCGACAAAAACCGAAGTATCATATCATACATATTGTATGTACAGTAGGGCAGGCGAGGGGGCGCAAAGGCCGTTAGGCGGACATATCATGGCCAAATCACTCCAAAAGTCATTCATTTCTTAGGCAGGATGTACTCGTACTTACTCGAGCACTGTACTGTACTACCACCGTACTACCACCGGTATTACAGATAACGGTTCCTGGACAAACTGAAATGAAAAAAAGGGACGAGGTTTTGATTATTGTTATTATTCAATCGGACAGGCGGAGCAAGGCGAGTTTATGCATACTACAGCACAGCACAGTAAAGCACAGTACAGGTACTCGAGTACAGTACAGTGTGCATCAAAAAGTAAAATAAAAATAAAAAGTACTACAATCTATCCTCATTTCACAATACGGTAACTGTACAGTACATTTTTTTTGTCATACCCTGCGATGCCAAAATCCATTTTTTCCATCCATCCATCCAGCGCACGCACAAATTCAATTTACATATCATACATTGATTGGCCTTAACTTACGTCACGTATTATACACACCGTATACGGTACTGTATACCCGTATGATACCGTCCTGTTATGTGCATGGAGCGCAGCGCAACCGATTTACCAATAATTATTAATACAAGTTGCCATGCTTGTACTCGAGTATGATGGATAGACTATGGTATCATACCTCGGCAAGAAGGGCAAGCAAGCAGACAGGCAGGCAAGGCATTCCCCATAAAGCACTGACAAATAATTAATTAATTAATTAAGGTTCACATCTCGCCTACCGGATACGGTATGGTATACCCCCACAAAGTAAGGCAAGGCAAAGCACAAAATCGCACAAATACAGGAAGGAATGAAGGGGGGGATTCCGATGTGGCGGTGATGGGGCTGGTTTTTTTTTTCTTTTCATGTATGAGACAACGGGGAGAATATACTGTAGGGCTTGCACTTTTCCAAGGGGGTTTTTTTTTGTTGTGGGGTATTTTTTTTTTTTTGAAAGTGCTATGCGGCTATGGTATGGTAACTGCGTGTGTGAGGGTCTACGGTACCGTGACTGTACTAGTACTTGTACAGTACAGTACGGTACACGCCGGTTGGATTGTTGCTTGGTTTACGGGTTTGGCCGGCTGGTTATCGACACATCCGCCCTTCGTTGTTGGAATGGGAGTAGAGCGTGATACAGTAGATAGAGTACCCGTATAATAAATACTGTACTGGTATGATAAGGGCGCGGTGCGGTACAGTTCTGTACAGCGCAGTGATTCACGTCACCCGGAATGGTGATTGATTGTCCCTATGATACCGGTATCCGTGTCCTGCAGAGTTTATCGAAATCTAGACTAACGGATTGTATTGAGCTGAGAAACCAAACTGGCTTGTGATACGGTACCATACCGATAATTTAGCTGGCTTACGGTAACGTACAGTACTTGCACTGCGCCTTCATGGAATGGAATGAGATCCCACCGCCCAGCTGCCCGCATCACATCATTGCACGCCAGTGAGCTTAACATACTCGTGCATTACTTACCCTACACTACCGTACCGTACTTACATTATCTTACGAGATTGGCCACTGACCTCTGGCATGAGATGGGGGTTTGGAAATTTTGGCGCTGGATTCTAAAAGGTATTATATGATAAATCGAATTTATGGAATGGAAAATAGAATAATAATAGGCTTTGATCTAAACTACTACGGGTATAACTTATGGGGTAGGTAGGCGGGCGGGGTTATTTCATCAGGGCATTTCAACCGTCTTAGGAGACTACTAGAAAAAGGTAAAAAAGTGAGAGAGCAGAAAAAGAAAAAGGGTGCCTCCCTCGCCGGCTGTGGCGGCATACAATACAGAAGAAAAACACACAAATTACAGATGGAAAAAGAATGATGGAAACAGGGAACGGAATGGGAAAAACAAAAACAAAAAAGCCGCTATTGCAAGAACACTCTCAATTAGGGCAACAAAAAGGGACACCACGCATTATCGTTCTTCCAGAATATGCAGTCATCGATGAAAATTGGATACCGGGAGCATCCGATTTTGCATATGCAATTTAAATGACTCCCATGTTGGGATAGTCGTGCAATATAAATCCCAATAAACGAAAAGCGAAAGGGGAAATAAAAAGGGTTTGTAGGGCTGAAAATTTAGAATATTTAATATTGCCCAACATGGATTAGTGATAAATGAGAGAAGCGAAGCAAAGTCATCCGAGGTCGGACGAAAAAAGGAAAAAGGAGCGAAAGAAAACGACTCTGGCGGGGCTGAGGTTAAGAATTTGATCCGATCATGTTTCTGTGACCCAAATCTGTGACGAGAAAACATTTTGTCAGCATGTGGAACTCGAACTTTCAGATGCGGCGAAATGACGTCGTTCTCCAGGGGAGGCTGGGCGGAGGAAACGCCCAAAAAAGCAAGGAAAAAAACACGGACACGGAGGAACGAAGATTGAACGGACGGACAAAGGAATCGCCGTTCAGCGTCGGGCATTTGTTGGATGAGTGATATTTTTCCCTTCTTACCTCAAGTTTTCCGACGTCGGAGCGATCGCGCCGCGCGGCCTTTTTGCTTGATGATATAGCCATATCCAGATCCTCTTGGTCTGAGAGACTAATCATACCATCGCCATCTTCGTCCCGGATTTTACACCTAACTTTACGCTGGAACCCGAATTTGCTCTTTAAGCGAGTGACGAATTCGTCAAAGCCTGTTCCCGTCGATATTATGACCACGCGTGTGTCATCCTCGTGATGGGCTTTAACTTTAATCTAGATAATCAAAGTCATATAAAGTTAGCAACGTGAAAAAATGAGATAAACGAAACCATGAGCCACTCGGACACCCCACTCGGACAGATGCTGATTGGGTCGGTTTTCGAGAGGGAAGTCGCCCGCTGATCTCTTCAGTTGCAACATTTTGCCAAGTTTACCACAGGAAAGTTTCCTGTTCAAGTTTAGTCGTCCGAGTGAGGGAGGGTGTTCGAGTGGCTTATGATTTCGTCCCAACTAAATCCAAAATATCCAAAAAATGACTCGACAAATAGTCATTCCCCATATCCCTTGTGGGGCATGATGGGGTTAACTCCTGGTTTATGTAGGGGGTAGATCCTCACCTTTTTCACATCCGGGCGACGGGACGATCCGCTGCGGGCACTACGGGTGTCAAGCATCTCAAATTCGTCCTCGTCGAAAGATGACCCTTCGTACGCTTCGCTCGCGTATTCATCATCATCTCCGTAACGGTCCCTAGTTGTCGGGCGGCGCGAAAGGCCTCGACTTCGGACGGAACCACCCACAGGGCCTCCTCTTCGTGGGGCTTCACGACCGTCATAAAGGTCATAGACCTCATTGCCGTATGGATTACCTTCAATTTCATCCGAATATTCAGTCATACGGTCATCCCGACGTCGGGGCGCTTCACGAACAGTCCTCGATCTTGACGCGACGGAAATTGAAGAAGAGGAAGGAGCGCGTGTCGAGTACGCACGACGAGGCTCCGGCTGGCCGCGGACTGTGGGTCTTCTTGGTGGAGGACTATAACGCCCTCCGGCACCCTCATCAATCCTATCCCCCCCTCTGTCACGGTCATGGCTTCTGGCACGTGTCGGTGCAGCTCCACGCACAGATAGAGACCTGCCAGCTGACGGCCCACCAACTGTGTTACTACGGGCTGGCTTTTGTGCAGCCGGTGAAAACTCATTTTCGGGAGGTGGCGTGGGAGGAAAAACTTGGCGCTCTCCCCGCAATGCGGGTTGAGCTGCCTTCTCTTCTGATCCAGTATCTGACCTTCGGCGGGGAATCAGATCCGGTCTGACGAGTTTTGTCGCAGCGAATGAGATGTCGGTCCGATCATCTACTGGGGCAGTTTCCAACATATTTTGCTACAGTCCTAAGTTAGTTTAAAGCTTCACAAACCGAACCCCCTATTCACGATTTTCAGACATACCTTCTTAACCTCCGTTCCCGCAAAGCCTGTGAATGCATTCTGGGCATCCGACGCCGCAACCAATCTTGGCTTTCCCAAGTAATCTTTGGCCTTCACATTTTTGACCTTAGCCTCATTAGGTCGATATAAAACACCGACCCCGACAGAAAATACGGTATAGCCCTACAACCACAGATTCCCATGTCAGCCCTCTTAAAAAAAACACCAGCCGAGAAAATTTAAATACCTCGGCTTGTTCCTTGATCGCGTCGTCGATCACATTATGGTCATCCACCTGTTTCTCCTTTGCAGCATACTCCAGATCCTTCATCCCCTGTTCGATATCCTGATCATAAATGTAACAAAGACCCCTATTAAATAGCACCTCACATGAAAAGAGCTTAAACTTCAAACCGAGCTGATCGTAATCAATATACGTATTCCCCCGAAGATACAGAAGGGCCTCGTTGAAGTTCGCCATAGCCTCTGTGAACTCTCCCAGTAGAAAATTTGATACACCCTGTTGGAAATATGCAACGGCGAGGAACTGATCGAGTTTAGTAGCTTTTTGGTATGCCTCGACCTACAGCGGAACCAGGAGAAAAAAATCTCGTCAGTAACCAGATTTCTTTCCCACAGGAAGCATTCTGTAAACACCAGAATTTCAAACAAACAACTTACAGCCTTGTCATGCTCACCGAGTGTCGCATGGATCATGCCAATATTAAAGTAAATTTTGGAAGTGTCGGCATTGGCTTCGAATATCTCCAAGGCTTTCTCATAGTTTTGCTGATCATAGTAGTTCAAAGCCTCTACCCAACTCTCGATTTCCTATTTTCACCCCCCCGAGAAATCAGCAAAAACAGTCCCTTCTCACCAAACCTCCCCTTCCCCCCAACAGCCCTCCACACTCCGTGAACATACTTGTTTGAGTGACATTTCGTGTTAGCAGCTACAGATAGTAGCAAGCAGTTGTCTGTTGGTCGGTTGTAAAGGTCCTCTCGGATGAGGGGGGGCCCTCAGGAGCCAAGAGAGGGGGCCTGGTGAACACGAGGAAAGAACGGTCGCAGGCCAGCTGGCGATTGGTAGGCGAGTTAATTCCCAAGAAAGTAATTGGATCTGCTCAAGGTGCGAACCGGACAATTTTCTATTGGAGAAACAGCACCACCAGGGCCTTTTGAAAAGTGTGCCTCGAGTGGGACAAAAAGGGCTATCCCCCTCACTTTTCTCCGATCCTCTCCTCTAAGTGTCCCGCTGCGTTTCGCTCGCTAGCAAGATAATAGGGGGCAGCAAACAAAAACAAAACACTGCACTAGCGTACGAGCCAAAGCTAATCGAAGAAATCCGGTAAAAACAATTTGGACCGAGGAACGAAAAAGGCACCGGTAAAACAATGTTTAAAAGCAATAGAAAGGGAGAAAAAAATGAATGATCAGAAAGAGTAGCTGCAAGAAATGAAGGTGAGATTAAAGGCCTAGTATCCCGCGAACCCGAATCAAAGAGCGAGTGAAAATGAAAATAGAGAGGGATATGGAAGGAGAAAAGAGAACGGCAGTGGAATTGGTCCGATCAACGCACAAAGGATTCAACAGAAGGGGGGGGTCAACACGAGATGTAAGCCGGAGGGACTGTTGCTCAATATGAAGGTGGTAGATCTGGTGAGCAACACAGAACGGAGGCGCCCACAGGACAGAACCTTAATATGGGAAGCAGCCGTGGGGGAAGTCGGGGAAGGTGCAATGTGGTGTGTGTGTGTGTGCCTGTGTGTTTGTCGTATCCCTGGGCTGAGCGAGGAGTTTGAAAAATGGAAGGGGAGAGGGGAGGTGTGTGGCGTTCGAGGGGGTGGTATACAGTATGAGATATTCTGTTGAAGCCTGTATCTGCTGTATAATATGGTGTATAACAGTTGTTTGAGGGTGAAGATGGGTGTTAGGGGGGGGAGTGGTGATGTGGTTTGGGGTTGAGATGTTGTGCAGGACAAGGCAAAGCAATGGGTGAAGAAAGTAGGAGCAAAGCAAGAAGGCAAAGAAAGGAGGGAACCTGCTGGATTAATAGAGAGACAGCAAAGGGAAATGAAAAAATGGCTGGCGCTTGGGGGTAACCACTACTTTACTCTCACTTACTCGCAACCTTTTCCCCCTCTGTTTTCACCTTTGCAAAGTCGGCAAACCTTGAAGCCGTGATATATTATTAGACACAAAGGGGTGAAAGACAGCATAAAAATATAGTACAGAGAGACATCCCATACCCGCAGCTGGCAAGAAGTGCAACGGAATGGAAAAATAGGGTGAACAAGCCTCTCAGGTTCGCATCCGAGTCCCCAGAAAGTGAGAGAGGGTAGGATACAAGGTAACAAGGCATATACCGGTATGGTGCAGGGCACTTGAAATCAACTTAAGGGCAAAACGGCAGTAATTTCCGAAATTTTTCACCCACAACCACATCTTTCGGAAGATATAGCTTGATAGAAGTGCTCTGAAGACACCGCCCCATGATTCTATGTTTTTTGATTTTCATTCAGAGCAATATTGGTGGACATAGTAGAATTTCGAATTACCCATCAGGATGATCCCAAGTGCCCGACACCCTACTTGTATCATACCGATGCACCGCCGTGTGCTGGGCTGAGTGCGGCGAACAGGAGCCAAAAGTCTTGTAAATAGATTAACCAAACGGATATCTCTACAGATCTCGGTTATGGGTTGGGAGGCGTTGGTCCCGCAAAGCTTATGTCCTCAGTCCAGACAATCATACCGGTGCTCTCGAAATACCTCGCTGTTCAATTTGATCAGTTGAGCCAAATTCTATATAATTTAACTGTCACCATAATCCTTGATTGTCCAATTGAACCACCGTCTGGCTATATGTGATTACCCAGGAAGTTTACCAGTACTGTAAACGCTTCCAGAACAACGCAAGATCTACCGCATTTCGGGCTAGCAAGAGGCTACAGTTTGTACGATACTTGTGCCATATGACATACTCGAGTAGTAGAGCAAAAGAAATAGAGGGCAACTCATTTCCGTCTTCTCTCCGCTGAAAGACTTTGCACCAGTATCAAACAGGGCATTCTGCCCCCGAGTCTGTATTTTGGCGGGCATCCCGGGTATCAGTTCTTCGTCGGGGGAGACAAGAAACAGCCCGCGTGGTTAGTTGCCCTAACTTAGCACGAAAGGGTCGATGGGGGAAAAAAAAACTCGTCTATGCACATACCCGCTAGGTTGCCGGCGGGATAACAGTGGGTTGGAAAAGTCGAGAAGCGTGCGTTCAGCAAGTAACGTGTAAATGACGATAATAATAAGGATGATAAAGAACTCGTCCCCCCACTCTACCACGGCCAATTCACCGTTTGGTTGGCTAGCTAGCCGGTCGAAGAATAAAATAATTTGTGTATTCACTTCAAGAGAAGTGCAGAAGGTGCAAGTGCGGATCTATGTACCGGTTCTCTAAAGTGCGATGGGAATCATAGTGACCATCCCGTCCCTTCAGGACCGCAACACTCAACTTACACCTCCATCATCACCTACCAAGATAACACGTTGGTGCTTTTTCGGAGCAAATACTTCCAATTAGGAAATGGAAAAAGAAAAGAAAAACTCCGAACCCTCCTCTCTCCTGTTCGAGTAACTCAGGGGGGATCCACTGTGGCAGTGCGGCTGGCAGACTGGCTTGTGTTGTGAGGCCTGGTCGGGCGGATAGAGTGGAGGAGGTGGAGGTGCGAGAACCCGTGAATCGGTATGATAGGTTAGGTTCCATCCTTCTTCTTCCTCCTACGTAACGGACAACTGACGGACGAATCAACGGACCAGGGCCCCTCCTGCCACGAGGTTCCCAACCTGAAGGAAGGGTTTGAACCCTTTCCTCACTTTAAGCCGCCCTGACCCCGTGATTGGGCAATAGGACCATAATCAACCACTAACCCATGACATTAGGAGAAGAATTATCTGGTTCTCGTGCATGTACGAGTACAGTACGGGACAGCACTTTCCCCTTTGCCGACTGACTGACTTTCTGACTGACATGGTGTTATTACAGTATTATTAAGCCTTTTTAAAATCCCCCGGCACGCTGATTGGATACCTCATGCTTTTTGTCAAAATCTAGGTTACAACGGAAGGGAGAAACAATCCGCTACTGCCAATATCGGTATCATACTGTGTTGGGTTGCCCGCCCGTTACCGCGCATAAATTTTGTGTTCCAAATTCGAAACAATGCCAGGGCCTGCAGACTTGTGCTAGCGCAGTGCTTGGGTGCTTGTATTAGTACATAACAGTACTAGCGCAGTCCCGGTACCTCTCTACTCGAGTAAGTGATTATCTATGAGCCTATCACAGCAATCTGGGAGAAGAATCTTGAAACCGTCATCTAGCGATAGCTGTCTGAACATCCCATCCCATCGCCTTCAAGACGATTCTACTCCAAAACGCCTGTTACATCCTCCATACGGTAGTACTGCTGTCGCATGTCCCAATAAGGTGCTCAGCACCGCATCCCATCTATCCTCCCCCCAAGGAGATGAGCACCGACCAATAAACCGGGCATCTTTCGCCTGTAATTGTAAGGGCATAACCGTACTTTTCCCGTCACTAACAACAACCATCCCCTTGCGGATTCTGCGAGGTTGATCATAGATTTCATGCGTTCCAATACCGAGGTATGTACTCGAGTAATGCTGTGCGATAGATTTCTTAGCTTTCCCCACACCACTAACCCGACTCTTCCCCTTGTATGATACTCGAGTATGTATGGGTGTGCGCTATATGCTAGAAGCTTTTGAGTCTTCCAGACCGCTGAAGCCATATCCGTCTCATGAACGGTTTGATGTTCATTCGTGGGGGAAAGGAAAAGAAAAAAGAGAGCCCCACCCGCGGTTACAATTTCCAAGCCATCGCATATCTATCCTAAACACTCCATCTCTTCCCGGCCAACAGGATTGTTGGGCGATGGGTGTACTCGTATAGTACTGGTATGGCATCGTATGGTTATTCCACTTGGACTGGTCGGTGGGTGATGTTGAATGGTGCATTAAGGCGGGACGTTTGCTGCCGTTATGCAGGTTCCCGGGATTCAAAAGCGGTCCCCTAACCAGATATGCTGCATGTTGTGGTAGGCGTTTTTTTCTTTTTCTCTTCTTACCTGGCTGGTGGTTGAGCACTGTACTCGTACGAGTGCAGTGCACGATGAGGACTGGTTACTATTCACTGAACTCCGTCCGCGCAGCCGACTCCTAATCTACCTTGGGCCATCCATTCGTCCACCCATGATACCCCAGTGTACCCTTGACCCTCCAGCATCTGCAGAGACGACGACTGCCACCATCTCACCAGCATCGTACTCGAGTATCTCCAATCCGTTACCATACTACCGGTACTACCAAAAAGCCCTGGGCTCTACTACTAATATATATCAGACAAAAATCCAAATCCAGGATTGCTTTGAAACCTGCCAGCGGACCACTCTTCGCCCAAAGCCCACCACGGATCAAACACCAAGAGGTAAGTTCAAGCGAGCCGCGTGAGTGAGCGGGGAATGTGAAATGATTGTGAGATGGTGGCGATGGGGTTCACGAGATTACGGAAGGCTCTCGATATGAGAAACTCCTATACAGGAAATCGTTGGTAAGAGAAAACTCACGTTATCGTACGGGAAAGGAAATTCTCGCTCCTTGGACATTTTCTGTGTTGAGAGAGTCCATGGTATAGGGCTGTCATGTTATTGCACGATATACGAATGGCTCTGCTGATTCCTGGGCTGACAATTGGCTGATTCTTACCCCACACGGAAATTGTACCTTGCCTTCTGCTTATCGATTTATCTGTAAGTAACTATTCAGGCTTCCAGGGTGCTTTTTTTTAATGCCTATCATTCCTCATATACTAGCACGAATGAGAGGAAATCCCTTCGCCATTTATCGAACCATCATCGAGCCATGTCAAATTGTGTCGGATTGCATCAGACCATTCCTCGCTCGACGTTTTCCTTCCTCTCGCCCCATATGGTTTTGCCCGAACATGAACAAACCTAAAATCCGGAAAGCGCATCAGAAACGCCTGGTATCTCTGGTAAAAGTTTGTTTCGAAAATAGGCGGGCACAGCGGGTGTAAGCGACCCAAAGCCATAAAGCGGATAGGGAGGGGGGGAAGATCTGCGAGATATGCAAGAAAGCCCAACCAACATACCGTCTTCTCGTTCTCCCAGACGCCGGCACTTCTGGCGATGACACCAACAATAGTGTCAGGGCCATCCGGTCTAAAACTTCCGTCCCGCTCCTTTGAAACCACGAAGCTACGACCAATGATTTCCCAGGCCTCGATAGGCTTGTCAAGTAGAACGCTAGCGGTGCCTGACTTTCCGACATTGATTGACCCGAGCTCTCCTCTGGGAGGCACATCGCCCTCCTCTTCCTTTCCAGATTCCTGCCTTCCCCAAATGTCGCCGGTAGAAGCTGCTCCCCTTGATATATCCCCAGCAGTGCGTATGGTAGCATGGTATCTACCGGGTGAGAGGCCTTGTAAAGTGAGGTCCAGTATGGTAAGTTTCGGTGACACTTGCACCATCCTCACCAGGCCGCGGACAGGGCTCGGTATGTCCTTTGCATGGGTTTCTAGAATCGCTACAGCAGCACCTGTTTCACAACCCAGCTCGAGTGTTAACTAGCCACACTTTAAATGATATCCGTCTGAGGGGTGTAGCCGGGATAAAGTAGAGCAAGATGGGGAAACAAATACTGTTCGGCTTTCCACTGCCCCGAATAATGGCGTCACGACCTGTATCCTGAATCGCTGAAACAATCGCCGAAGGAGCCGCTTCCTGCTTGTGAGTATCATACATTCCCCAGTTTTTATGAAACGAATATGTAAATGTGAATATACTCCTACTTCTGGGTATCTGTGAAACGGAAGGGAAGAAAAAGGGAGGAAGTTAGGCTGTACCTGTCCCCTCTACAGCGACGAGCTGTTTTTGGAGGTCCGCATCTACGCTTAAAATGCCTTTTCTTATGCGTCAGTAGGATAAGAGGCGGAGTGGGGCTACTCCTTGCGTACCGGGCAGTTTCTTTAAAGAGTTCGAAACATCTTGCACGCAAGAGTCACATTCCAATGGAACGGCAAAGAGAGTCTGGGGGGTTATGACGGCCGGCGCCAGTTGGTCAGTCAGCCTCCAATACTTATAGCCGCCAGTCAAACGGAGAGTGTGCTTCAAACCTGGAAGGGATCAATCATAATGCACAAGTGTATTTGAGATTTGATACGATAGAGTAATTTTTCCTCAAAGCCGAGGCTTCCTGTTCCCGCAAAACAAGTTAAAAGGGGAGGGGGTCGTGGGCAGCGGGCTTCTTATTCGCATTATGAGGAAGGATGAGCAATGGGACAGGTTTACATAAATGCATGTTTGGCCGGGGGGGGGGGTTGCATGGTTGCTTCGATTGTATCGTACGACTGGACTAGCCGCTGAAAGTTCCGATGCTTAATAATCCAATCAGAGGCAGCCTTGCTGGTCAAATTCGGAATTCGGAATTCAAAAAGCCCAAACCCAGAAATCATCATCATCTCATCCCTCCCCCCCGCTAAAACAGCCCGACGGCATCTGGTGCCCCCTCCGAGACAACAATGTCCACCAACATCGGAAGGGTATGACGAACCCCCGTTCTGTATCTCCTGAGATCAGCGAGCTAACTGGGACGGTTTCTTCACTTAAAACAGACTTCCCTGGCCTACAGTCGGTCCTGGCACCTCGTCGATATGGGCCATGACCAACGGTCCTTTGGCCGTATCGCGACTTCAATCGCTACGACACTCATGGGGAAGCATAAGCCAACCTATGATCCAAGTAGTCAGTCCCTGCATTCCGGCTTCCCTTGGTTTATGCTGACACTTGGGTTGTTTTAATGCAGCGGATTGCGGGGACTACGTGGTAGCAGTCGGGTGCGCCTATCTTAAGACCACCGGCGATAAGCGGATGAAGAAGAAATACTACTCGCATTCAACAAGACCTGGTCATTTGCAGGAGATCACAATGGACAGGATGATCAGGAAATTCGGAGGTGCGGAGGTGCTGCGCAGGGCCGTCTCGGGCATGCTTCCGAAGAACCGGCTAAGGGACGTTCGGCTGGCGAGACTAAGAGGTTTGGTTCCAGGATACTGCGGTGATGTTGCTCGGCCTGACTAATTGTCTGTCTGGGCAGCCTTCGAGGGATTCGGTCACCCATATAAGGAAAACTTGGTCAGGTTGGGTGGTAAACACCATATGAAGCCCCGGTCCGCAGCAGGATATCTATCAAAAACGCCAGTACAGGACGCCATCGAGGTGGAAGTGTCGAAACCCGGAGCCCCAGTATCATGAGACTTTGTAGAGCTGTATATATATAGATTAGATACAGATACCGTCGCCCACGTGCCGAACACCTGCTTTAGATTAAATAAAAAAAACGGGGGCAAAGCACGAAGGAAACGGAAATGGAAAATCCCCATAACCATTACACACCGCTCAGGGGTGCCAATCTGGGGTGAGAGGATGAAGACTGAAATACGCAGATAGCGGGAGAGCGGTTTTATCAAACAAGAAGTCTAGTGGCTGCTATATACATCTAGAGCTTTGAGGTCTTGGTTCTAGAGACTGTGCATTTGATCAAACCATTGGGACTGGATTGAGGTGCGTACACCTCGGCATCCTTACCGGTGTTCTTAAGCCCTTTATGCCATTCCATATCTAACATTACATCAGGTAAGTTCGACAATCCACAAGTGACAACAAACCGCATATCTCGGGAAATGGCTTACCGATCTCAAAGTAGTGCTTGTTCGGCAAAGAATAATCAACTCTGCTCACCTCTGAAACGGCGGCAAGTATCTCGTTGGCCATTTTATACATGGTAGCCTGGACGCTCACGCTGTTATCGTTTGCAAATGTTTCAAGAGTGATATTTCGTGCAGATTCCCAAGCCTTGTCGAAAAGTGGGATATTGCTCTTCACGTCATTTAATGTCCTGAACGGACGCCATTCCCAGTTGGCATCCACCTCGGTGCTCAAAATACGATCCCAGGTTTCATCCAAAGAGGTGTATTCATCCCGAATGAAGCTATGGAAAGCCGAACCGGTACTTTTGAGAACCAGCAATCCCTGAATTCCCGACCTCACGATAATACCCGTTCCTCGTCTGCATACAACTTCAGCGTTGCGAGTCTCTGCACCGTCCCGAAGGAAGGAGTGCGGGTGCGGCTTGCCGTCGATTGTCATACGCGTCCACCGGTGCGCGATAACCTTTACATGGGCAGCGTGAACATGGGGATATTTTGCGGGAAAGTGAGAGGCCAGAATCGAGGCAAAGAGCTCTGGTGGAGTTACTGGGTTCTGCTTGGCGAGCACTGAAAATCTGGCAGTTAGTTAACCGAGGCTCTCAAGGGTAAGCTCGGAACAGGGAACTCACAGTAAACAGTGTTCTTCATTGAGTCTGTAGCTACAATGACGCTATTGTCTGCATCCGTGTACCTGGAGGCATTGTGAGTGAACGCGAAGCTTCCGTGGGACTAGGAGGCTTACGACGGTTGAATGTCTCCCTCCAAAAGTACACACACAGTCATTTCGGTGACAGTATGAGTTCCTCTAGCTTCATCGCGGTGAACTTTGTAGAGACGAATGTTATCCTGTTTCCATCCTCAGCTACTTGCCCAGCACAAAGGGCAACTCGTTCTATGCACTAGTACCTTTCCATAACGAGCTGCAGACAATTCAGGCATGTTTATGATGCGATATCTGACTTTACGAAGTGGAGAGCTAAGACTGAAGACAAAGGAGAAGGACAACAATTGTATTGAGTAGGTGTAAACGGAGGTTGCAGATTGAGCTTTTTTGGGGGGGGGGCATCCAGATACTTTATACTCTATCAGAGCTATCACCGGTGTTTCCGTTGGTAGGGAAACGGAACCCGGGATCAGCGGGGGCGAATAGGGAAAAGGGAAGAGGTGCAGCCGTGCGAGCATCGTACGGTAGGTAATCTTTCAGTAATTTTGGCTGTCCCGCAAGGGGATTTACCGGGGCCCTGCTTCTGGCCAATGGGCGTTTGTGGATGTAGCGAGCTCGGAATGCCCTATGGAGGGGGGGTGGGGCGTAAACCTTGGTGGGTTGTATCATACGCTACGCTCAATCATTGTTGGTGGAGATGGAGGGCTTGAAAAAGGTGGTATCAGATGGCTCTTGTTTAACATCCGGATATGGCCCCTCTGGGGGGCGGAGGTAGCCGCACGGCGATTGCCGCCAGTTCTGGGAAGCCTAGAATCCCCGCTGTCCTTAACCAGGACCGCGGGTGGCGCCCTCTTTTGAGAACATACTTATATCTTCCCCGTCGGTTTCCACCTGATTGTAAGGATGTCTTTCCGAAAGACTTGTCAAGCATGAAGCTTCTATATCCGGTCATTTCATGCATACCGGTATCGCTACCCCACCCTGCTCATTTTCGAGTCAGGCGGGCGACCATGCTCTCGGGGAGATGCGATCCTGTGGCTTTTTTAAGCATGACATGCGTTTACTTGTACTCGTACCGGTACCGTAGCCTTGTAGGGTGCGAGCAGTGTTCGGCACCGGTTCCGGCACTCCCCCAAGATCAGCCCGAATGGGGACATTGCTGATCCTGATTCCACGCGGGGGGGGATCAGGCATCAATCGCGCCCTAAAAATCCCAGAAAATAATACTCGTCTGTGCCAGCACCATACTGTGCCTGGGGTGTAAGGCGTGCACAATTGTGCGGGGAGAGAACCCACTGTGCCAGTAGCGGTGCTAGTACGAGTACCATGCCAGTACCTGGTAGAGTACTGTGTTCGAGCACCGTTACAGTAAGCCTGCTACAGGCATCTGGGTAAGCATACCCTAAGGAGAGACAACTATGATAGGATCCTTACGCCGAGACAGCCTGTGCCGGAGCAGCGTTGGTATGCACCACCTTATTGCGCCCGTGCGGATATTTAACGCTGGATTCACCCCCCAGCCGCCCATCTACAGTACTGCATAATGGAAGTGATTCATTTCTGCCGATAACCGCCCCGACAGAGGCCCACAGAATACCGTGCAGGTCCAATCTTTTTGTCGTGGCTGTGGGGGACCTCGCCCCTGATGTGTACGAATTACAAGTACGAGTATAGGCACTCGCCTGTCGGTATTAACGTGCCGGCATGTTTTTGGATGTGGGTGTGAGGGTCTGGAGTGTCGGATAATAACTGCGAAATCCTTTGATCTGCCAGAGTCCTGCCAACACCGGTAAAAGTGATGTCCCGATATTGTCGATAACGGTACGCAATTATTGCGGTGTGAATGTTCACACACCCGGGGGGGGGGACCCTCAGATACCGCAGCGATAAAGCGATAGGGCTGTTGCCTGTCGTATTGCGGAGTGGGGCCGGAGCTGATGGATATCGGGTGATAATGGGTGAATTGGATGGAAACCCTTTGTGTTACTTGTGATTACGAGTGAGTGAGACAGACACAACCAGAAGGGTCGAAATAACCAGCGGGATCCCTGACCACCGTGCTTCGTTGCGCGCCGAGACAGCCCTCGACTCGACACTCCACATCTAAACCCCCCCGCGATAACCCCCCATCAGAACCTGCCCGCTCAGCAATCGACCCCGCCTCTTCGCTTCGGACTTTTCTATTACCCGGTTTCTTGGGCGCGAGCCTGTACCCTTGCTGCATACATTTTGCCTGCCACGGCAAGCCTCGTTCGGATCTACCGCCCGTTTCATTGGTCGCTCACCTAGCTCCGAAAATCTCGCTACTACATCACCTCTATCTTGCATTCCGAACGGCGGAGAAGCAAACATCCCATGCTCAACTTTCCACCCGACTATTGCCCCAAATAGGTCCGGCTCGTGGGAGTTCACACCATGTCCAACGCCTTGACAACTTCCCCAAAGTCGGTGTCGGGTGCCTCGTCCCCGGGGCCAAGGGTCCGTGGGGCGAGTGGAGGGGATCGGGATGGCCTACTACATCCGCGCCAGCCCAATGGCAATCGTGCAGGCTCAAGTTTGGGCACTACCATAGGGAATCCTACCCCGAATGGCCCCGGGAGCTTTAGCACAAGCTTGCGAAGTACGAATACCATTGTGGCCATGACACCGAACGCTTTTGTCGAGGAATCCTCGGACCCTCCAAGCCCAATGTCTTCTGAGAGATTAGTAGAAGAGCTCACCGATCAACTTAACAAAGCGATCAAATATAAGGAAGGAGCCGAGAATCTTTTACAAGTGTTGGATACGAAGAAACCCAAGGAAGCGAAGCAAGCGAGAAATCAGGTCGAGAAGGAGTACAATGCAAGGAACCAAGAGATATCACAGCTCATGAGCCGTATCGAAGCCATCACAAAGCCCAGAGAAATCCCGGGAGTGACAAGAGCTGCAAACAAGTTCAAAGGAGAGCCGATAAGACCGGCATCTGCCAATAATGGACTTGCTATCTCTGGTGCCCCAGAATGGGAGGATCCTGGAAGCGAATCACCAACACTATCGCTTACTGAGTTATTGAGAGATTTGGAGGAGGCGGGCAGGAGACCAGAGTACTACGTTGAGAAGGCCAATAGCTTGGTGGCATTGTTTAAACGGCACCCCAACCTGAAGTATGAATTGGCTTGGAATACTTTTGGGAACCGGATACAGAGCATGCTTCTCAATGAAAACAAGGAGGTTGTGGCGGCTGGATATCGCATTGCAAGATATGCAATAACAGACCTGCAGTCTCTGAAGGCCATCAGAGCCCTATACACTGACGAGATTACCATAATGTAAGATCGACTTGCGGTCCATCTTTATGGTTTGTGTCCCAAACTGATTGAAGTAGCTCCTTGGTTAAGGAGTCTAGGGCCAACGTCGAGCGTGAACAGGCGTTAAAGTTTGTACGTGCCTTTATTGAGGTTCCCGGTGGTGTACAAGAGATATCACGGGGGGTCGTTAGAGCGATTGTTGCGTGCGCGGAACAGGTTGACGACAGGCTACGAGGCGTCTCTATGGAAACATTAGCAGAGATTTGTCAGTAAAGCCTCCGTCTGCTCCACTTTACCCCCCTTTTTTTTTTCGTGCTGACAATTTAGTGATTCTCAATCCATCACTCGTTGTATCGGCTGGAGGGGTCAGAGTTCTGACCCAGGTCCTGTCTGAAGGGCCTTATGAATTATCTGATACCATTTCTTTGGCGTTCTTATACTTGTTAGATTTACCAGCGACCAGAAAATATATCCGGCCTGGCAACGACCTGGAGGTAAGGTTTTTCTTACCTCGATTGGGCTGCTGGTTTTACTGACTGGTTGTGGCTAGATCGTGTTCTCTGTTTTTACCGACTCATACTCGGAAAAATCTCCTGCACCAGAGGAGAGACTGAGATCTAGTGCGAAAGTAATTAGTTGCATGCTGAAATCGTGGCCAGGTAACAACCTCTTGGGAGCCATAGGTGTGCACGATTTTTGTTTCTAACCGCCCGGACAGGCCTTTTGGTATTGTCCATGTATGATCTTCGAGCCCCAAAATCTTTAGTCGCGGCCTTATCTATACCATCTTCAAGCGTTCGGGTGAGCAAGACACAATTCCATTGGGTATTTCTCCGTTAGCTCAATAGCGAGATTTAGGATATTATCTTGGAATTATTCTTCGATATATTTCGGATAAAGCCCCCTTCTTGGTCATCTACCTTTATTGCTGGGCGTAGACTTACTAGTATGTGCATTTCGTGTTTATCAGACTGTCACTTCTTGCGCGCTTGCTGATAAATTTTTTTTTTTTTAAAAAAAAAAGCTTATGGGAGAGTAACAAACCTCAAGTCTGAATCTGATGCTCCTAAGCCTCCGAGAGTGGATGATGCATACCAAGGAAATCTGGTGGAGCATTTCACGGCTTTACTTCTGGCTGTATTCTTTGAGGCTGACCTATTGAGGGTATACTAAGAACTCTCCGTCGTGGCAATATTTTCTAACTGTTCACATAGTCTTTGATGGCGCTGGTAGAAGATAACAGTGATCCAGCCATTGTACGAAAAACAACGCTTTTGCTCGGAGAGATTCTCAAGCTCGCAAGTCGTCTGCTGCCGAGCACCTACAGCGCCCGTTTACAGCTCCTCCCGGATCTCTTCACATCAGCATCAAACTTCCGTGTCCCAACGAGGTTTGCTGCGTCAGCTGCAGTATACCAGATAGATAGCCTCAACCGGACATTACACCGATCTCTAGCCACCGCACAAGTACCACAACGGGTGTCTGTTGATGATGGAAAAAGAGGGCAAGGACAGGTTGAACAAGCAAAGTTGAAGATATATATGGCGATCGATGATCGCCATTTTTCTGGTCTGATAGTGGATAGTGGGGTTTTGAACGCAAAAAGCCATACAAAGTGGAATTGGGATGCCCTCAATGAGATGATTCAAGGCCCATTACTTAATCCCAAAAGACTTGATGAAGCGATAAAAGGGACGAAATTTATGAAGAGGTTGATGTCCTTCTATCGGCCCTTTAAGTACAAATTCTCGGACGTTAAGAACACCAAGCCCAACCAAAGATATGTCAGGACGGGATGTGCTTTGTTCCATACTCTCCTCCAAACTCCCGAGGGTGTTCGATATCTGAGTGAGAATAAAATACTTCGGCAAATTGCTGAATGCCTGGCTCAACTGGATAGAGTGGGTTTTCGTCTGCTAGAAGGGATCTTGGACGTAGGTTGACGTTTTTGATAGATGAGCGGAATAACCTCGCCCGAGCCTCTATTTTCTACCTCCAGATTGATCGGTACCCTCAGTTGTGGATACTTTGCCATGTTGGGGGTGCTAAGTAGTGATCCGAAAGGCCTTGCGTACGTATTGAGCGTTGGGCTTCTCGGAGTTCAAATTTCTGACTTGTGTACAGAATGATGGAGCGTTGGCGCATGTTCAACATGTTTTATCACATTAGCGATTCCCTCGATAGGCCAGACCTTCTGGAGCTATTCGTGTCCAACATGGACTTTACCCTGTAAGTCTACTCAAGGTCCAGATCTAAGCGGTGATTCACTTGTGGATTGCGATCTCATGAACACGATAGGGAGGGGCACCCCCGCATCATTTTGTCCAAAGCATTGACAATGGGCCTTAAGGTGGGTTCTACCCGACCGGTGCTTTTCGGCGAGATCTTGCTAAAAGGTCATAGAGCGTCCGATTGTTTGCTACCAGCCACCTCCGCAGCCTTATCTCAACCGCACAGTCGTCACAGACCCCTACAGACTCCAAGACAAACGAGACCGCGGAATGGGCTATACGGCTCCTCATTACCCAACTCTATGATCCCGACGTCGAGGTTTGTGAAACAGCGGTGAAAATCCTCGAGGAAGCATGCAATATCACACATAGTCTAGAGTATGTGGTGAAGTGTCGACCTGCACTGGACCATCTTGGCGAAATTGGCGCCCCGCTGCTGTTACGATTCCTGTCAACGTCTGTTGGGTACCACTACCTCAATGAGCTTGATTATATTAATCGGGAAATGGACGATTGGTTTCACGTGAGATATGCTGAAAACCACACTTTAGTCTATGCAAGTGCTGACACTTCGACAGGGCAGGAATGATTCATATGTTCTGACGGTCGAGGCATCCCTGGCCCGGGCGTTTGCTGATGAAGAACCGCTGAAGAAGCGGTCAGGCGACATTAATACGATTGACCGAGACATGATGGGGATAGTGCCACCACATTTCTATCGAGAGTTGGCAAGGACAAGCGAAGGATGCATTTTGTTAAGAGAAAAGGGCCACTTTAACGACTTTGCATTGTATATCCGGGAGCATGGCCGGGAGGAGGAAGAGGCAGAGGTCGTCACCAAAGTCAAGGGGTGCCTCTGGGCGGTTGGAAATATTGGCTCAATGCCTTTCGGCGCACCGTTCCTGGAAGAAGCCGACATAGTGGAGTCTATTGTCAAGATCGCGGAGGAATCCCAAGTATTAACGCTCAAGGGTACAGCGTTTTTCGTTCTCGGCTTGATATCCAGGACTATGCAGGGTCTGGAGATCCTTCTTGAGTACGGATGGGATGGCACAACGTCCACCATGGGAGAATCGCTAGGGTTCTGTATCCCTTTGAAGCTCGGACGTCTTCTTTCCGTAAGTTCCGTATTCGCAGAACCAAAAGCCTTGGCGAACTACTACCATAGTATCGCCACACGCACACTGGAGTGAGTGAGTAGCGATATAAGATAACTGACTTGATTTATTTTATTTTATTTTACCCACAGGTAGCACCCTGGCACCATACAGGGGACGAAACGAACCAGATAAATAGACCCTCACCACTTTCCTCGGTGATCGGCGATGACCCGGTGGATGCAAAGATACTGACGGCAATCGCGAACCTAAATAACCATATCCTCGAGAGCGGTTCCACCAAGGAATTGAATCGGTAGGGATCCGGATAGTCTTTTTTTTTCCCTTTTTTTTTTGTGACTAGTGATACATACAAAGGGAAAGGAGAGGGTAACTAATGCGGGTAATAATAGGCTTAAAGCTAGTCACGTGACGCAATTCCAATCCCCAGATCTCTTCCGGCGAGTGATGACGCTTATTGAATCTTTCCGATATCGGCAGCACGTTCGGCGGTTTATACTTGACCTCTTTGAGAAGTCAGTGGTGGAGAGGGTTTTTGCGGAGGACCGGGCTGACTCGGGGGTTGAATCCCCCGACACCGGTACTCTGTAGGGACTTTGACAAGGAGGTTATCAGTGGCCGGAAGAGGGAAAGAAAGTCGGGTTCGGGTTCGGGAGGTACCATATAGGGCAATGGGATGGAAGAGAAATTTCTATACATGTCATTTCTTTTTATCTCTTTTTTATCTTTTTTTTTTCCTTTCTTCTCTGTGATGATTTGCATTGTCTGGCTTTTTCGTCGACCTCCCTCTCCCTCTCTTTTCTGTCCAATTGGGTGCATTCCATTCCCTTCCCAATTCCATCTTGTTTCTCCTCTTCTGAATTGTCACTTTTTTTCTTCCCCTTCCTTGCTTTTTCCCTTACATCATTTTCTTCATTTCCTCTCGACGGCATCTGGGCTATCCATCTGTGTACATTAAATTACGGGCCCGTTCATTCCTCGTGTATTTTTATTATATATATAAGGAAAAGGCCACACTGGTACCGTAGGTTACATTGTAGCGGCCGGGCCAAGTCCCCGGAGTATGGGATGATGAAGGGGACACTGGACCGGGTTGGGGATTGTGGACATGCTCTCGTTCTCTACCCTCCTGACCTGACTTGTCCTGCTCCGTTTCGTTCTTTGCTCCCTTTTTCATCTATCTTATCCCCAAGTTTATACGGGCACAAAAGTACACCACCACCACATCACATTGCATCACATCATATCATATCATATCATATCATCTCGCAGCGCACCCTACCGTTCATATATTTCTTTCTTTCTTTCTTTCAACATAGTTGCGTGGGGGTAGGTGGTGGGCGTTCCGCACGAGCTACCATACCCTACCAGTAAACGGTACTGTACTGTACTGTACACGCATGTATGTATGTATGCAGGCAGGCAGGCAGGCAGGCAAGGGAAACGCACGAGTCCAAGTACCGTAGGAGTAGAAGAAAAGAGTGTGCGCCTCGATAGCGGTACGTTATCATATCATCCGGTGGGGTTTTTTTTATCGTACCGTAGCTGTTAGTCTCCGATGGATGCATGTATGCATCCACGCGTGCGTCCATGCGTTCGTGCATGCGTGTGTTGCATGTGGATGGAGGGGCGAAGATAAAGGAGCGTGAGGGATGATGATGATGATATGATATGATGCTGTAGATGGAACCGGGGAAGGGAAATGGGGGAGACGGTAACTATGGTGGAATACTGTACGGTAACGGTGGTAAGTTATATAGTAAGTGTGACATTGAGGTATAACATCATAACTGTAGCGTGTCCGATTTGTATCATAGGTTTTTTTGGAGGAGTTTTAGCCCTACGGTAAACGTTCTATCATAGTTTGCTTTCCGCAAACTTTTTAAGTTATATTTTTTTTGTCTCCATCATACTGTGCTGTACTCGAGTATGATACTGCACATATAATACCGTAACTTAAAAAAAAAAACAGATGGAAAGGAATGCATGGGCATTTATCATTCATCGCTCGAGTATTCCCATCCGCGAGTAAAAGAAGTAGAAAAAGAAAAGAAAAAGAAACGCGAAAGAAGTAATGTTTGCTCACGGCGGGGGGGGGAGGAAAGAAGACTTGGACGACTTGCAAGATGTTCGGATATCACATATCGTACCGTACCGCCTTCCGTTATCGTATCGTATCGTATCGTTTCCCACCCCCACGCAACTTTGTGCTGCGCAGCGGAAA